TCAGTGTAACCCCAAATCCCCCGTCCCCCAGGCAGTCTCTGCTCAGTGCTCAGATGTCTCTCCAGTGCCTCCCTCCTGTCGCCTTGTCGGTGTCAGCATGGGAGCTCAGTTAGTTAAAACGTGGCAAGCAAGGCTATGTGTTCCGGTCCCACACACAATCACCTTACCCAGAAAAAACCCTTAGCTCTGTGCCCCAAGGTTGGGGGGTGGGAGGAACCTGCTTCATCCAAGCAGCTAATACACGAGATTCTTGCTTGAAGAAAGGATTTCTCAGCTTGAGAAAAGTTTGACAACCAATTCCGTAGACCAGCACCCAGATATTAAATACCCCATCTGGGGTAAGTCGGAGCCCATGCCCCCAGAGATGTGCGTGCACAGCATCAGCCCGCTGGGCCCTCCCTACAGGCAGGGATTCAACAACCCCAGCCTGAGTGTCCAGGGAGGGCCAGCCACGCCACAGCAGCTCTGAAGCGTGTGTGTGGCGTGAGCTCAGGGATCGAGCTCTGCCAAGCCTGACCTCAGCCTGACGTCTCTGTTCTCTCCCGACCAGTCTGAAACGTTGCACATTAACCCGCTCTACACCCTGATCCCTGTCACCATGTGCATCTCCTTCGCAGTGATGCTGCCTGTGGGCAATCCCCCCAACGCCATCGTCTTCAGTTACGGGCACTGCCAGATCAAAGACATGGTGAGTGGTGGGCACTCTCTTCTGGTCCAGTGCACGGGGGCACAGGGGTGGTGCCCCAGCCTTCCCCGAGAGCATCTTCTCCACGGCAGCTGCCCTGGTCTGCCAGCACTCCGTCTCCATGCTCTGCTGGAAGGAACGGACGGCACCAGTAGAGAGCTTTTGGTTTGTCCTTGTTGTTAGTTGGCAACAAGCCATTTCCAAACGATAGCAAGCCCACGTGTACACAGGAGGTCTGTTCCATGGGGTTGTCAAGGCTGTGACCTTTTGGAAGCAGATCACCAGGCCCGTCTTCTGAGGTGCCTTTGGGTGGATGCCAACCTTTCAAAGCGGCTGGTTTGTCCTGAAGCACCAAGAATAGCAATAATGTGCTCTCAGGCCTTGTCTAGGAAATGGTACGGAGTGGTGGTGCCATTGAGTTAATCCCAACTGCTAGTGACCCATGACACAGCAGACCCGCCCCATGGGGTTTTCTAGACTGCAGTCTCCATGGGAGCAGAGCAGCGGTCTTTGTCCCAGGAAGCCACTAGGTGGGTTCGAGTTCCAGCCTTTCAGTTGGCGGCTGAGAGTTTAACCACCCACCACCAGGACTTCTTTAGTTTAGGTACATGGACCGAGCAAGAAGTGGCCCAGTTCCGGTAAGGTGGGAGCTTGCTCCAGCAAGCTGCCTCAGTTTCTTCACTGGACCAGTGGGGATACAGTATGAGAAGTTGTATGAACCTAGGGTGAGGGACCAGTCCCTGGGGAAGGACATCAAGCTTGGTAAAGTG